TAACGATGCCCCGAACGTGTTTTTAATTTAGGTTTCTCTATTTCGAGTCTTTTACGGCATTCGTTGAAACGGTATAGTATGCTACAACCGTGTTTCGCACAGTCTCTTCAATTTATTGATCTTGATATAGTAGCTTGATAATAAGTATAGTACTATATAATATAATAAGTATAGTATAATAAGTATACTATAGTAGCATGATCTTGACAATATATAGTATGAAATATACACGGTTTAGTTAAATAGAAAAAAAACAGTATGATTTAGTCGATATAATTTTAAGTCGAATTTCGGCCTAAATAGTACATACGTGATTAATTTAAATAAAAAGAGAGCGTTCCTATATCTTCAATTTTACAAAATCTAATACTTGAACTTACTTTTAAGAGTGCTTCTCTGCATAATTAATATAACTCTGACTTACATTCTCTTCTACCTGCCCTCCCTAACTGATTACAGTAGATTCTCCCTAATTTTCCTTCAATTTTGTAAAGAGAAATGGACAGACGGCTCATTTTTATAGTCGCCGATTGTCAACAATTACAAAAACGAGGCTTGAACAATCGTGTCTCCTCCTCCCAAATTGCCTATTTTCGTTTATAGGCCGAAGGAAAATTAGGGAGAATTTACTGTATTTCAATTCGATCGATAAGTTCATGGCAATATTGTAGAATAATGTATCGTAGAAACAATGCACTGTAGATACTGCATTTATCACTGAATATTGACATACAATCGATAATCACGAATTAATTCCGAAGGTACGAAGTAGGTGTCCAGTTGCCAGTACATAGTTGGCAACTTTCCTCTATATATTTCCACTTCGGATGTTCATCCCGGATGATTTATCGACAGCGATGTGAACGGTGAAAGGTGCAAACAGAACGAAAGGAAGATTTTGACTGAGAGGTATAAAGGAAAATGGTGAAGTATCTAACAATGAACATATATAAGACGGTTTAACTTCGTTTCAAGCTTTCGTTTGCTATTGTTCCTGAATCTTCGCAGATGCAAAATATGATATACGGACACGCGATTATCGCAAATAGCAAGTTTCTATTATATCCTCTTGTATAAAATGTTATTAACATTATTTATATTATACGTAATTAATAAAAGAAATAAAATTATATTTCAATTGTTTTCCACGAAAATACTGTACGCGATATTAATATTCGATGTTCGTGTATCCGGTGCGCGTTTGTGATGCAATTTAGGCTTTCCTAATGTCAGTTAAATATTTAAATAATACATATTGTATGTATATAAATATCGTATTATTTAAATTTAGGACTGCGAGCATGAATATCTGTAACAACGCCGAAACTTTAACGTAGAAATGGGTATTGAAATAAATTTATTATTACAATTATTACAGTGTTGGTTCAATATTGAAAAAATTGTTCATAATGTTAGAAACGAGAAGCTTTTAAATTGAACATAAATCTTGTGCTCGGGTACGCCTACGATAATAATTTTTGCGTTAGCGAAAGCGTTCAAGCGACCAATCTTTTAACGGCACTCATTTCGAGGATTGCGTCTGCAACGAAATAACGCCGAATTACAACGCAAGTAGTAAATCGAGTTATTTTAACGGGTTTGCAAAGTGCCGTGCAACTGCTGCTACTACAAGGAATTAATTGAGCCACGTGTTCAACTGCTACGGGTTGCTTGGGTCGCGTACACATGTGTACTACGTGCTTAGAATATTTTTATTGCAAAAATTAATTGTTATGCACAACAGTCGTCAGACGTTACCAGCCATAATGTAATTTTATCGTAACAGCTCTGCAAAAAGTGGCCGGGTGTGAAATTTCACTGCGGCATTACTTAATTTAAGAAATAGAATACTTTCATGAACCTTCCAAAAGAAGCCACGTATCAATTAACATTTCAATAGAAAACAAATGAATATAATACAATTTCATAGCGATGTAGCTCGTAAAACTGAAGCTGAAAAATTATCAGAATGCTACT